CACCAGCTGAAGCTCCAGCCCATATTTTAAAAAATATCATTCTGAACCCATAAAACATTTGTTTTGTAAAGGAACAGCTCTCACGCTCTAGCTATGTCCATTGATGCAGAACAAAAAACAAAAAAAAGGAAAATTGAAGGGCGAATTTTCTGTTATAGACTATTGCTCCTTTTGTGGTCAGCAGTATGAAAAAGCCACTTTACCATGTGAGTGAATGGCATGGCAGGACAATTCTGTGAAAAACACATCTGTTGCTTTGTTCTACAATAAAGGTACAACCGACCTCCTTGTAAACTCATCAGAAAAATATTCCGTCTCATTTTGAACAAGTTCTTCCTTCAAGGTAGCCCCAGTATTATCATGATTCCATTATGCCAGTGTTTCTCAAACTGTGCTCCGTGGAGCCCCAGGGCTCTGCGAGACATCTCCAGAGGCTTCGCGAGGTTGACAAACTGGAAACATTGATAGGTACAACACATACAATCAGTGGACTGCTGGGGCTCCGTATAAATTTTTACGCATGTAAAGGGCTCCAGAGCCCAAAAAGTTTGACAGCCGCTGCATTATGCTATAGGTGCCATGGTACACCATTCCCCTGTGATGACTGTAGTGTGCTCTGTGTACAGAGAGCCCAGATGTGGGGTTTGCAAGCACTCCAACTGCTACATTCTACAGGAATTCCCATCAACATTTACATTTTGAACAAAGAGTTGTTTTGTTAAAGATGGCAAAGCAGAAGGCACAAACACCCTAACACAACACACAATTAGAATAGTTTCTACGTCAGTCATTGGGCGGTCTAGCACATGAGTAACAAGGGTGGGATACCCAGAGTTTTATTAAGGAAGGGAAATGAGGCAGGACGGTGATGACCTGTGAACTCTGAGATGAGTGGGGCAATTTACCTACTCAACAGAGAGGAGTTGGGAGGCAATGGGAGGAAGACAGGGGCAGTGAGAGAGCTGGAGGTAGCCCAAGGGAATAAGCAGTGACTCCCTATAGAGCCCATGCTGTCCCACTTCCTTGCTCCCAACTGTTTAGGTGGCCACTCTTACCCAGCTCCCCACATCATCTACTCCACCCAGAACTGCAGATGGCTTCAGGCCCCTCACATCCCATTGACAAGCTCCCTCAGCTTGACCTGGCACCAGCCAGCTTTGCGGACACTCTCCAGCCTGATACAACTCTCTACAGACACCACCTGGGCCAGAACCATCTTCCCTACTGGCAGGGGCCTATGGCTCAGGGTATCACCCTGACCTCACCTCTCCTTGGCCTGAGGTTCACCCTGCTCTGCCATCTTGCCCCAGAAGCAAAAGGGGGGCATGGGCATACTGCATACCCTCAGCTGCATACTGTACAGGGAGATATAATACTATACAGGCAGACTGGACTCCCAACCTTCCACCCACACCTCTTTGACTTGGTATAAATGTAACAATTTCAGTGTAACCCCTCCATACTACTTTCCTACCTGCCATCTGCTTCTGTATTCTCCTGCTTCAGCTATTGATGGCCTTGTGCGGACAACAGGGTGCATTTGTTTGGCTCTCTGCCCTACAGTTCCAATATTTAGGCTACAGTTCATACTCTCTTGTAGCTTCTGACCATCTCCTGAGCCTACAGCCATCTTTCCTCAGATAATACTTCCTTTTCTCTTTCACTGGGGATCATAGAGCCCTCTGCTGCCAGGACATTGAGCGAGAGCAGTTGAAATACCCAATCACGAGCTAGTATACCTACAAAGTGTCAAATGGAATTGCAGCCCCCTTTATAAATCTTAGGCATAGTCTGTGGACCCACCGGGATCTGTCGACCACACATTGAAAACCACTGAGCTAGTAAATTTTATTGCTTTTCTAGAAGTAAGAAATGCCAGCATTGTTCTGTTTTCAGAAAGAAAAAAACAGTACCACGACAATTCTCCCTGACCTGCATGACTTGAAGCAATTAGCTGAGAGACATACTAACAGCTAGCAGCCATCCATCTGAAAAATATTCAGTTTTTTCCCCAACTATTTCAATACAACTATAATTACAAAATTTCCATTATTTCTAATTGCTTTATCTTTTCCTGTTTTTCTCGTTACAAAACAGATTTAAAAGAGTAGTTCTGTGGCTCGGACATTTCAGAATGATTGTTGATTTCAGCTCGATTTATGAATAAACCAATTTTGCTCCAGTATTTTTGTTTTCCCCCAATAAAGCAGTTTTTCATCTATAATTAATATTAATTTATTCTGCAGGCATAAAAAACTCTAGATATCTGTGACTAGATCCATCTCCCCCTTTTTTTTATTACCAGTACTATATTTCCATTACCTGTACATCAATCTTGGTCAAGATAATGGAGTGGCTGATACAGGATTTGATTAAAAAAGAATTGAGGTAATAGAATCAATGCCAATCTATTTTTCATAAACCCATGTTGATTAAGTCAAACTAACTTCATTTTTTATAAGATTACAACTTGGTTTGGTAAAGGTAATAATGTTGACATTAGGGATGTAAATGGTTAACCAGTATGGACTGGAGCAGCTCCCCACCCCACCCTAGCCCCACAGAACCCAGTGCAGGCAGGGGCTGCCACCTCCTCCCTTCTCCCTCCTACCCACCACCCCAACCTCACCTTCTCCCCCCAAACACAGGTTACACACTGGCTACTGGGGAGCCAGCTTCACTGCAGGCTCTGCAGTATAATTTTACCCTAGGAGCAGGGCCAACATTTTACATCCCTAGTTGACATAACAGACTTATGTCAGACATTTGGCTTGGTTCCCCACAACATTGACTAAAAAAACTAAAAGGATATAAAGAGCAATGATGTGGGTGAACCAGACAATCACTATGTTCTCAAGTGAGCTCACACAGGAAAACTGTAAAAGAAACATCACATTACCTATAGATAAACACACATCACAAAACAATCACTGTGTGGCTTTGTCTACACTTTCACGTTTAAAGCACTGCAGCGATAGTACTTTAACACAGCAGTGGGGTCAAACACCAAACATGGGGAAAACACCAACATGCTCTCCAGCACGGTAGGTAAACCACCTCCACAAAGGGAGTAGCTAACAGCACTAGAATCTGTTCACACCAGTGCTTTACAGCACTGTAAGTTGCTGCAGTCTGGTTGGGGGGGGTGAGGGAGTGTTTTTTCACACCTTCAAGTGAGAAAGTTACAGAGCAGTAACTGGCCAGTGTAAACAAGCTTTCTATCTAACCTCTCAGTCCTCATCCTTAAAGGAAATCTGCATAACACTTTCAAAAGATCAGCGTGGGAGCTTAAATTCTTAACACTGATGAAAATGAAAAATGATGCACTGATTACAAACAACCTGTAATGCATGAAGGAGATCAAACCAGATTATCACAATGATCCCTTCTGGCTGGAGAATCTATTAACCCTCATCAAATACTGCACTGCTACACGGTTTAAATACGTCAAAATTTTTTACATTTCACACTTCCCGTGACCAAATTTTTCATGAAATAAATTCACCATTATCTGCACTAGTCATTTTTTTCTCTCCTCTATTTAAGTTAAAACAACAGGAACTTCTAGTTCAAAGATTTTTATTTTAGCATTTTAGTTTGTTATTCTCTTATTTTGTACCTTTTACAAGCTCATCCATTAATATATTACATGCCTGTGTGCATATAAGAGGCTAGCTTATGTCAAATCATACTTAGACAGTCCCTGCATTTCCCTTGCTGTATTTAAGTGCAAAATTATTTGAAAAATTTATCAATAGAAACTAGAAGATTTATAACCTTCCAATGTTATTCAATGCCCAAGCCGGGTCTTTGGGGGGGTCATTTACAATTTTATTAATTTTTTCCTACTTATCAAATGCATGCAACGATTCCTATAACACCTATGAAGTTGCCAATCTCTAATCAAATTGTTTCTTTTGGCTTTTTTTCCCTTTAGTAACCTATATTATTATTTATTTTAACAATCCACAGCAATCCACAAGGCCATAGTACATTCCTTTTTTATTGGGACATGTCTGACAAAAACTTATTAATTCTCCAAGCAGAAACTGCCCAAGTGAATTAACCAGGCTGAAAGCCAATCTTTGTAGTTTTGCAATGGCAAAAAAAACAAACAAACAAAAAAAAACACAACACATACCACCAAATAAAACTAAGCTGTTTTATTTCTAGTGGAAAACAGTTAAAGAAAAGAATTCATGTTGTGAACTTGTTTAAAACATTTCATCATTATATTTCAGAATTAGGGCCCCAGCTTAAGTCTATGGAAGTTTCATTATTCTCCTCCACAGATGCAAGACTGAGTTCTTAAGATTTACAAACATATCTCAAAACAAAATACACATTGGATCATATTGTGTGGTAACATAAGAACTGCTTTTAAACACAGGACTGGATGTCAGAAAATCCAAGTTCTAATCATGGCCTTCACAAAACTTCTCTGGTGTTTTGGTCTGCTAACTTAGCCTATCTGCCTCAGGCTCTCTAGTTACCTAGTACTGTTCCAGTTCTATGGTTGTGGAAATTGAGGCCTGGTCTACACTTAAAACTTGTGTCAAACTAGCTGTGTCACCCAGGGTTTGAAAAATTCACACCCTTGAAAAGTACAGGAACATCTATACTACAAGTTGATCTACATTAGGTTGACTTACAGTCAACTGCCCTAACTACTCCAGTGTGGCTGATGTCCACAACACCTTCTTTCTGTTGGTGGAGTGTAACCTCACCAACGGTACGTCTAAACTATACTAATCTTTTGAAAGAGGATATGCAAATTCCATGGTAACGTGCATATCTTCTTCCAATTGCATTTTTGAAAGAGGATTTTTCAAAAATAAAAGTAGCCTGGACGCAGTTTTTTCGAAAAAAATCCTTTTCGGAAAACACTCTTCCTAAAAGAAGGAGGTTGACGTGGGGTGTTTTTTTGAAAAAAGGTTTTTTTCTGAAAAAACTGCGTCCAGACTATTTTCAGTTTCAAAAAAGATATGCAAATTCTCTTGGCTCCATACAACTCTTTACCAGAAGCCCAGCTGCTTTACCAGGCTCTTGCCTCTCAGCCAGAAGCAACAGAAAACAGACACCCAGGCTTCTCACCTCTCAGAGTAGCTGGACAGGTGTATCCCCACTAGCGTGAGGAGCTAGAACCAACCTAGATGTTGCTACCCAGCTTTCTTGTCAATTTCACAATTCTAACATGAAGCCATGAAATTGACAAAACATCCAGTGTATATAATGCAGTGTCTACACAGATAGTGAATCTCCCTAACTTCACTGACATAAGCACTGCACTTCTTGTCCAAGTGGAGTTATATCCACGTAGCATAACATTTACATTGGCAGGACATGGGTATACTGTGTAGTGTACAGGCATAATTTTGTCACAATGACCTAACTGTGACGTGTAGATCAGACCATACTTAAACCAAACCTAAGCCCCTGGTACAGACGCTGCTTGATCATCACAAGAATTCTATCCCCTTTCAAGGGGATGGATTTACTACAGTGAAAGAAAAACCCTTCTGTCACTGTAGCAAGTAGCTACACTACAGTACTACGGCACAGCATTTGAAGATTTAGGTAATATTTGTAACATTCTATGAGCTCTTTGGATTTGGTGGTGAGGGGGGCTGAACAGTGTTATTTAAGTCCAAAGTACTTAGGTGCATGTGATATCTTGACGTGGCAAATAAAGTTGTGTGAAGACTGTTACTCCTGCTCTGTTTTAGGTTCTACAAAGTATCACAGAAATCCAGACTCAACTCTTGGCAGGTAAAAACCCTTTCAGTTCCAATTTTATAAAGCAATATTGTCTCTGGTTAGTACTTTTTCATACTTTTAAAAGTTTATTATGTGCGCAATAAAGTAATATATGTTCACCAAAATAATCTGGTTTAATCACAAATGGTAAAATTTGCTTTCATATTTAGCAAAGAGGAAAAATTATCTCCGTGCATTTTTCTATCATGGAGGACAGGGAGAAAGGACCCCAAAATACAAATGGAAATGTCCAATAGAGGTGTTGGCCTTCCACACTACACCTGATGAAGCAGCAGGAGAGGAGGTTGAGAAGTGTAGCCAACAATAGTTTACAGACGGTATGATTCTACCATCTGCTATGGCTAGACATGCAGAGGATACTTACATAAATGACTCCGTTTAATATGGGATTCAAAAATTCATTGCCCTGCACAAGACCAGTCCCAACAGTTGTATATTTAGAAGCTTCAGGGGGTAGCCGAGTTAATCTGTACAGGATAAACTTAAACAAAAACTGGTCTGGTAGCACTTTATAGACTAACAAAACATATAGATGGTATCATGAGCTTTCGTGGGCATAGCCCACTTCTTCAGATGACCAGAGAAGTGGACTGTGCCCATGAAAGCTCATGATAGCATCTGTATGTTTTGTTAGTCTATATAAAGTGCTACCAGACCAGTTTTTGTTTAAATTGTATATTTGACAGGCTGAAAGGAATAACTGAGAAATATATGTACAGGCAGTCCCCGGGTTACGTACAAGATAGGGACTGTAGGTTTGTTCTTAAGTTGAATCTGTATGCAAGTCGGAACTGGCGTCCAGATTCAGCCGCTGCTGAAACTGATCAGCAGCTGATTCCAGGAAGTGATGAAATTCACAACAGGTACAAAATTTACTCTCAGCACTATTGTACCTCCCACGTATAGTAGCAAAATGCTTCAATATACTAAATAGAGAGTCTTTAAAATGGGCAGCATGAAGGTATTTTCATGTTTTTCGAACAGATTGTTATTTTCACTCAGGCTTATAATAACTGTTTGCAACTGAAATCAGTTTTCTCAATGGAATGGGTTTTTTTTTGGCTTCATGGCTAATACATATTAGTTTGTTCCATCTAATCCAATTATAAGTGTTTTAAGGTGTGGTAATTATGCAGGACAGAAATGGAAGGTACCATTTAGCAATACAGGCAGTCCCCGAGTTACGCGGATCCGACTTACGTCGGATCCGCAGTTACGAACGGGACCCTCCCTCTCCCTGGTCTCCAGCAGACCAGGGAGAGGAAGCAAAGCGGTGGAACACGCGGGCAGCAGACAGCCCAGACGCGTCTGGGCTGTCCGCTGCCCGTGTGTTCCGCCGCTTTGCTCCCCGTCCACCTGGTCTGCAGACCAGGGAGACGGGAAGCAAAGCAGAGCAAAGCCGCGGAGCACGGGGGCAGCATCTGGGCTGTCCGCTGCCCGCGTGCTCCGCCGCTTTGCTTCCTCTCCCTGGTCTGCTGGAGACCAGGGAGACACAGGGACTGGCTGTATAGAAAAAACTGACTACTGTTCAATTAGAGAGCTTCATTTTCCAAGCAAAAATATGAATCTTCCCTTCAGTTTGATATGACATTAGCAAAGCTACATTATTTGTGGCACTAATAATATAGGAACATTAATGAGGTGTTAGCTATAAGTGACAAAGTAGTTTAAAGACAAAATATAAACTCAAAACACTTTATGAAGTCATGTCTTTCAAATGCAGGTCAATGGGGACCAGAGGTCAGGGACAAATTTCTGTCGGAAATTATTCCTGGGCCCTGAAATTTGGGAAAAAAAGTCCATGTTCAAACAAATGCACTCTCCCCATCTACCTCCCGAGCCCTCATGATCAAATCCTTTAAATCTACAAGCAAGGTTTGGCTTGGTTCATGGCCATTCTCACCACTTTGCTGGTTCAATGAACCTGGAAATTGAGTAAGATCTCATTCCTATTGCAAAAACAGAACTGGAAAACAAATTTCCCTTTTTAAGTCTAAGGTATAATTATGAGAGCCAAAATATAAAACAGAGCTGTTTCCCAGTAACTGGAGGAATTGCACTACAGAAAGTATTCATATAGAAGTCCACTACTTGCCAAAGTCAGACAGAAATAGCAACTATAAGAAAATAGTTTTCTCTACCTGAACTAGATGGATCTTAGCAGACATGCAGCCTCTCTCCAAGAAACTAAGACTAGCTTCTGCTGAGCTGAAACTCAAGAGACATATTTGATATGCCATGCTAATTAATTACACAGATTAAATACTGTGCAAGTCTCCCCCCAATAAACACCACTCAAATGCAATAAATCCCAGAAGAGCAATCTAATAAAGTTTGCCAATACAGGCAGTCCCCAACTTACGCAGATCCGACTTACGTCGGATCCGCACTTACGAACGGCTGCTGAGCTGAAACTCAAGAGACATATTTGATATGCCATGCTAATTAATTACACAGATTAAATACTGTGCAAGTCTCCCCCCAATAAACACCACTCAAATGCAATAAATCCCAGAAGAGCAATCTAATAAAGTTTGCCAATACAGGCAGTCCCCAACTTACGCAGATCCGACTTACGTCGGATCCGCACTTACGAACGGGGCTCTCTCGCCCCGGAGGTCGAGGTGGCGGATTGCTACCTGCGAGCTCCGAGGCGAGAAAGCCCCGTTCGTAAGCTGCTCCAGTGCCCCTGGTCTGCTGGAGACGGTCTCCAGCAGGACAGGGGCA